AAAACCACAAAAACGCCCATGCAGCCAGCCCGTTCACGGGTTTCGAACCTCGGACCGAACTACCAGTGTTCAGCGAATTTAGCACTCGGCCGCTGGTGGACCAATGGTTTTGGGGGCAATTGGTTTCTATGGCAACCCTTTTTACATGGAAACTTGGAATTCAGTTGGTTTGTGTGGTATTTAAGTGATTTATGACTGATTTATGTATGCTGGACTTTGTATGCTCTGTGTCTCAGAAGCTAGGAGGGAAAGATAAAGTGGTGGAAGTTGATGAGTTGAAGTTCAGCAAAAGGAAATATCATCGTGGCCATCCTGTTGAGGGGCAGTGGGTATTTGGAGGTATCTGGGATATTATTTATGGTGGCTGTGCATGATAGAAGTAAGGAAACTCTGATTCAGTGTATTAAAGAGTGGATTGAGCCTGGTACAACTATTTTTTCGGATGGCTGGAAATCCTATAAGGATTTAGGAAAAGAAGGTTTTAAACATTTATTTGTGAAAGATAGTATCAGTTTTGCGGATAGTCAGTCTGGCTGTCATATAAATACGATAGTGATTACATGGCGGCATGAAATTGATATTTCTGCTATTCGAAGAAGCATTCATTTATGGTAAGCGCAGTTTATTTTATTCTTGTTCTTATTTTGTAGTATGTTACGTTCATTGCTTTTTTAGTAAGAATTTGTCATTATTGTTGGGTTTTTTTTAATTGCTTAAAATTTGTTTTAATTATTTTAGTTTATTTTGTTGATTAATGCGCAATGCCTAGATTGTGTAATTCATAGATTTTTTTAAAGTTAGAACGTTGCATACATGGTATTCTTGAAATTTATTGTTGTAATGTTAATTTATTAAAGCAAGGTGTGCATAGTTGGTAGATTCCTTCGCTGTGTAGATTGTGCATTTCGTAGAGTTTTTTTTTTTTTTTTTTTTTTTTTTAAAGTTAAAACATATTGCTGTGTACATGGATTCTTGTCAAATATTTTTGGTTAGAAACTTCACATTTTTTGCCATCTAAATATTTTGTTTTGTTTCGGATTTTAAGCTTAAATTATGTGTGTAAAACATGTTTTTTTGCACTGTTTTTTGTACTTGCAAAAAACACATTTTAAACACACAATTCGAAATGTAGACAAAACATTTAGGTAGTAATATGGCGTCGTGGAGTTTCTCACCAAAAATTGTTGTAAATTTTGCATGAAAATGTTTGGCGAGAAATTTGTCGCCAACCGTGGGCGTATATAAGAGTAGTTCAATGAAGTAAAGAAGACAATATATGTGATCATGCCATAGTAGTCATAACAGAATTTTTTGTTGTTTATAACAGACAACCTTAATAAACTTCAGTTACTTGTTTTGATACTTCCTTGTGTTAAACAATGCCAAGATTACTGACAAAGCACAAATGTATGTCACAAACAGTTACCAAACAAGCCAAACGTTCTAATCACAATCACTAGACAGTTCATGAGAACTATGAGTAGGCCATGTGTTAATATATTTCCTTTTTCAAAAAACATTTTAATATTTTTTCATTTATTGATGAATGTGAGAAATGCTATATCATTAGTCCAAGAGGTATTCCACCTCGTATTTGAATATGTGAAAATGGCCGTAAGTGAAACAGTGTATCAATGAAAACACTTGCAGGTGCAACATAAAAAGCTGTAAGTGAAAGAAAAGCATATATGATTCATACAAATCCATAAGCATGCAAGTCATACAGTTCATGTTAGTTCAAAAGCATACAAGTGCAAGAATCCCTTTGTTTGCATTACGGTTTATTTAATGTTGTACAGAACTGAAAATCATTAAATCCGCTCAGAAGAAACTCAGGTTTTTTTGAAAATACAACTATTGACTGGAACAGACTTATGAGCAAGTGTATTCTTTACGTTTAATCTAACATTCACATAAGTGACCCTAAAAAACACACTCATGCCAAATGTATTGTACTATGTGGAAGACAGATTGACGATTTTTCCACACTGTTAAAAGAAAAAAAAAAAAAAAGCAGTGGTTAATTTACAATCACTTCACTGCAAACCATAAATTTCATTCTACATATCAAATAATGGCTGCTTACATACCAAATATTGAAAGATTGTGGTGCTCCACCAAGTGGCAGAACAAAAAGCAACAAAGCACAGCTTGCCATCATTTTGAGGAATTCATATGGCAAAAACTTTGGAATGAAAAAAAATTTTTGATGTCATATTAAAGCAACTGTGGAAATATGGTGCCCATGAATTGTATGTGAGAAGTAAACATGAAGTTGGCATTATAAAAAGAAAAAAAAAAAATACTCTTATTTTTTTATACAGCTAATAAAAAAAATTTTTTTAATACTCGGAAATATGCTATAATAACAGCATTTTTAACAGAAAATCAACATAAAAAATAAAAGACTGGAAAGAAAAGAATAAAAAAATATCAAGTGAGGACCATGCATGCTTATGATGGGGATAGATTTTAATCCCCAAACTTTTGACGATGTGAATATTCCTATTACACATATGAATAGAACGAAGATGAATCTTTACACTGTGACAACTATCATAATTATTACACATTATAAACACATAAGTACTACAAGGAATTAAATTTTTAAAGATATTCAAATCGATTTATGTCCTCTCAAGACATCTGAGTTTACCCAAAATGTGCAATACTTTTTTTAACATTATTATGTCAATAGACATTTTTATAATACTTAAACAAATCCCAAGAGAGTAACAATACCACAGAAATTCAAACAAATCTTTCATTTTTATTATTTATAAAAACATGGTAAGTACGATACCCTTTTTTATGCCCTTAGTCATGTATGTAAAATTAATGTATAATACATTCTTTTACTAGTGGAATAAAATTTTCCCAATATAAAATTTGAGATTTACTTTTTTTTGGAAACTGCTACTTTTAAAAAGTATATATAAGTCTGATTTTAATATTTCGTTAGATTCTTTTCATGTAATTATGAATATGAATGCTTTAACTAAGACCAATAAAACTCTACATACTTTTCTAATCTAAATTATTCTAACACTTGGTTGCGAATGTGAAATTCATAGCAGTTCTGTTAACCCTTTGCGGGGCGCTATATGAAATAATTTAAATTGTTGTAAATTTTGCATGAACTATAACTTAGAGACCCTAAGGACACAAAATTGAGACTTAAAAAAAAATCTAGAGTGAAATCCTAAATTTTGAGAGACGGTATATAATTTTATACTGGTGCCCCTCTCAGACTTTTTTTCCAGGTAGCTGAAAAATTGTTAATTTTTGTTTTTTAAATTAATTTTGTGTACTTTTGATGTGCATCTGTAGAGATGGGTGAATGAATATAATTATGTAAGTTTGAAGACAAAAACTTTTTTAAAAATTTTGGTAGAAATTTAAAATTAAAAATAAAAATTTATGTTTTTATGCACTCTGATGATGCAACCCAGCTGAACATACTTATGTAAAAATATGGGTAAAAAGCTTTTGAACTTGATTTAAATTCAATATTATTATTTTATAAAAAAATTTGGCAAATACCCAGCCCCCCATGCACACACACACTTTACATTATCGAGCACTGTAAGGACCCCTTTTTTATTTTTTGTAAATATAGGTTGTAATATATGTTTTTGTTCAGAAATAAATGCCGTTAAACAATTTTATTATATGATACACCTCAAAGCTCTTATTTCGATTTTCAATTCCTTTGGCTTCCTAGGGGCTCCTTTTCAACTTTTGGATAAATTCTAGTTTGCATCTAAAAGGGGCCTTAGAAATATTTTCTCTCCTTTCACCAACTGTGAAATTTATTTCAAAAACAACCTATTTTTATCTTAACCTAGATGTCAAATTTCTCTTGCCGTACCCTAGTCTTTCATCTGAAATTAACAAAGATGATAAGAATAAAAGCGTGCTTTCGAATCAGCAGTTTTTGTGATTACACTAAGAGATGGACCTAAATTGCACTTCCATTTCCTGTATTTTTAAGTAAGCTTCCTCTTTGTGTGATCTTATCACACCACACAAGGGGAAGAAAGCGTGACTCCCAAATGACAAATCAGTTGTCAATCACCTCTTTTAATTTTCCTTGAATTCTAGGATTTTGGAAAGCACGAAGCAACAGGTGCCTTTTGGGGGCTAACATGCCACATTTAAACCCTACAATTATGCAAAATTTTTATGCCAGACGGCAATTTTAAAATCGATGAGTCTTTTTCTTAGGAAAAGATGAAGTGCTGAAATTAAAATTTTAGTTAAACAGAGACGAATGAAACTTGAGTAGAATAAAAAAAGAATTCAGTCCTAGCGCAGGGTCAGTAAACTTAACTCCCTTCATGAACATAATATTGAATTCTAAACAACTTATAAATTAATCATAAAAAATTATTACATCATAAACTGTTATAATATAAAGAAATTTTGTCATGTCACGGAATGGAAAAGGAGAAGACTGGTGCTGCCGTCTATTGGCGTGGTATCCTCAGTGTGGGCGTCGATATATACTATATACCGGTTTTAAAATCGTATAAATAATCTTCTGTTAATTATTACTTTTGACTGAAATGAAGTAAATATATAAGATTCAGCATATATGTCATATATTTGCAGATTTTGAAATTTTTCTTTCCCTCCAACAGAATTTATCAATCTTCAAACATGATACCTTGGAACGAGGTATATTAATTTCATAACTGCAAAATATTAAGCATTCATAGGATGGTGCCATTTAGAATCAAAAAGAAACACTAGAAACTTACGATTATAGCTTTTGGTGTAGAAAAATTAACATTTCTTTTCAGAGGTTAAAAAACTGACAAACAACCGATATATATTATATACCGGTGCCCTTCAAAGGGTTAAATAATTTATACCTTTATTTCTTCATGTCTCAAATTAACTCTGTTTCACACACACACACACACACACAAAAAAAAAAAAAAAAAGAGAGAGAGAGAGAGAGAAATTATAATTTCATCTTATAAAGTATTTCTTACCATTCTAAGTTATCACTTTTATGCAGGAGTCTAAGAACAGCATCATAATTCTGGAGAAGAAAAAAAACTATTAAAACTTACTGAAAATAACATGCTGGATTATTTTATCAAGTTTTATTTCAGCACAGTTTCAAAACTTTAGATAAAGCATTTCAGAAATTCTTGATAACTAAGCCTTTCAAATATAAAATATATTTTTAAGAATCACTTTGCTTTCTTCATACAATGTGCAAATATTATACATACTTTTATACTCCAACATGCAAAAAGTCTGCAGATACTTTGCAGGCAAGTTTTATTTAAAAAGTTTGAAAATTATTACAAAGCCAAAGTGACATTCATTAAAGCACTAAAGATTTACTTCAGCGCTCCTGCCATTTGTAAAAAAAAAGGAAAAATGACTCTTTTGGTATCACTCATAGACCATCTATAACATTATCAATGTCTGATTGCTATTAAAAACCCACAAAGACTGGGATTAGAACCCCAAGTTTTAGGAAGACCTCTTCTTTCATACCTCTTTACAGTACTGTTTTTTTCTCACAAAAACAATGAAAATCAGCACTAGGGTACCTGAAAGGGATTCATGCTTATGATCCTAGACTGTTCAAATCCCTTTGCTTAAAATACAACATTGTGTTGAATGATACAAAATTGCTTTAACTTCATTTGCCCTAAAAGATAAACTTCACTGTTCTGGACGATGTCATTTCATAGAAAAAGTCACTTCATTCTTCCAAAAAAGTTTACTAATGCCTTCTTAATATACAAATTCAAATACTGCAAGTTTCACGCATGTGAAAAGATACAAGCTTTTCAAAAAATGCAAGCAAAATAAAATGCATACAAATGTTTTTCAACAAAGTTGAATGGTTTTGTTAAAATAAGCATTTACCATAATACTAACAGGAAAATTTTCATTAATATCATAGTACTTATTTTTAAAATCATTAATCTAATAATTAACCTAACTTATTTGTCTACTTAATTTGTATCTAAATATATGTAAAATATAAAGTACTAGCAGCTTCACTGCCAGCCTACGTCTGGCTTTTAAATGTACCAAAAAAATGGCTAAAGGGAACACCAAACGTTAAATTTAAAAACTGTAGAATTTTACTCTGCAAAACAACTTCATAAAAAAAAGTTATTACGTATAACAAATTTACAATGAAATAAGCAATATCCCTTAATAAAAATATTAATTATCCTAATAAATAAAGTAACCAACTTCCCTTTGCAAAATCTTAAGACCTCAAGTGGTATAAAGGAGGTTAAAAACTTTGTTTCCTAAAAAAATCACTCAGAACTTTTCCATATCTTAAAAACAGTGAAATAAGCAATAAATAACATAAAAGAATACAAAAAAAAAAAAAAACAAAAAATTCTGAAAAGCAAAGTATAATTAATGAAATTTTATCTTATATTTTCAAGAGAAAAAAATTACAATTAAATAAGCTATATCTCTTCATACAAATATTAATTATCCTAATAAAAAAATTAACCAACTTTCTGTTGAAGAAAAAAAAATCATGCAAAACTTTACAATATCTTACAAACAGTGAAATAAGCAAAAAATAACATGAAAGAAACTTAAAAAAAAAAATTCTGCACAGAATTTTTACTCTGCAGAACAACTTTATCAAAAAAAAATTTCTTAAAATTCTCTTTTCGTATGAAAAATTTGAAAACAGGGATCTACACACAGTCCTACGTTACATTCCTTGCACTCGTAATAACTCATTTGCCGTTTTGGAGGATTTTTCCGGGAATGTGAACAGACGAAGCATCGTCGTCTCATTTTCTTATCAGTCTCTTCTGAACAAAGTTTTGGAAAATGTCTTTCAGTTAATCTGAGTGGATTTAATGATTCTGCTGATCTTGGTGTGATTGCAATGGTAAAAACAGAAAGAATTCACGTCTAACGAGATCTAATTATTTTCTAAAACAGAAAGAAGTCACATCTAACAAATTTTCTATTAAAAAATATTTATTCGGTCTGTTTCTATTAAAAACAGAAAGAATTCACGTCTAACAGGATCTAATTTAAACCGAAATACCCAGCGCTTTAGCGAAAATAAAACTTCTCTACTTACAATAAACAACTACCACGTGCGAATTTAAAGAGACGTCATAAATCACGCCATTCGGAAACATTTATTTCATCTTTTGTTTATATAATCAAAAACATGTGTATGTGAGTCATGCTTCTCTCATTTAGAGTAGAAGGTCTAATGTACATGTACCTGAAACCATATGGACATACAGTGCCATCTTGTGGCAAAAATTATAGTTTTTAAAACGTTCCAGGATACTGGCACAAATACGTGATATTCGGGGCTGAGCGGGAAAACGCTCTGGCACACCTGCGTGTCGGCCGGGAAGTGAGTGTGTTGGTTGCTGGCACGTAGACGTGACAGTCGGCGCGAAGGGGTTAAAGATGTAAGAAGTGTAATCGGAAGCTTCATTTAAAAAATTATTTAAAAATACAAAATATTATCATTTTTCCAAAATTCTTTTTGTAAAAGCAGTTGCAAGGATAACGTGTCCAAAAATCAAAGAAAAATTAACTGTACATTTTTAAAAATAAACTTTTTTAGAAAAAATCCTGTTCAAAAGGTCATAAGCTCACTTTGTTAAATAAATTCGCATTTAATTGATTTATTGAAACACAAAATTTATTTTAAGTTCGTAAAACAGCTAAGTGCCTACGTTTCATGACGATGTGAAAATGGAGTGTGTACAGTAAAATCTCGCGTTCCTATAGCCCATTATGTCTCAAAATGACGCGATTTCGTCACAAAACATAAAATAAAAAAATTCGAATTCGAATTTCGAAAAAAATCACTTCGAGGTGCACTGGCTCTTGTCTAGATGCACCTATGCACCAAATTTCGTAGCCGTGTGTCTATTAGCTTACGCGCAGTGCCAACGAAAGACACACACATACAGACAGACTCTTTCTTTTATTATATGTAGAGATAAAACAAAGTTACTAACAAAATTATTTAACTTAATTGGAAGCAATCGGCAATAAACCTTTAAATTCATAATTCTAAATTAAACACATTACCTCTTCAAAGATACATTTTGCACCATTTTGCATCACTCTGCAGCATGTTACATTTCTCTTTCCCTGCAATTTCTCTGCACTGGGGAGAAACTTAGGACCAGCTGCTGCTCAGGATTAAAACAAAGATTTCCAGAGCTTTTAAATACTACTGCAGTTATTGTACATTACTTTTTTGCTGCCTGCTTTGCCTAGTAAATCATGTTTCTTCAATAGCCTTCTTTTTCTATTATCTAAACTGTAAACTGCATATACAAAAATTCTGTGGCATATTTAGTACCTCTAATGTTCATATTGTTTATTTAAAAATAGATTGATTACTTTTTTTTGTGAACAATCTTTAATTTACCAAGTAATGAGGTGGATGCCATACCACCTTTTTGAGAAAGAGGACTTTTATCTGACAAATTTTTACGCAAAAATGGCCACAATATGAATCTTTATGTTAACAACGAAATCATTTAAAGCTGAAATGTTAAAAATTGCAAAAAGGAGAAAAGCCTCCATATTGGAAATTGTTTAGCAGCTCCAGAATATTGTTTGTCACTGCTATTAGGTTTTTGTATTCTTGCTTGGAGTTGATGTCCATGAAATGGTGTAACAAACAGCTTAATATCTGTAAAAGTGCTGCAGTTGATTGGAACAATTACATGACATAAAATAATAATTTCAAAATATTCTTAGGTAATGTCATGCGAGTATTATCGCTATTATATGCTGTGTTTATTTTTACATTCACACGTCACGAGCTTGGTGAAAATATATCCGAGACATTGGTGCAAATCTAAAATCAACAAATATGGTTGGAGGCCACTATAACAAAGAAGTACTATGGTTTTCCATGATATAACAAAGAAGTACCATTTATATCAATTTCAACTAAAAAAAAAAAAAAAAAAGCAACAGCATAAAGTGATCCAGATGCTTTCCAAAGCAAATATAATGGAATTTCAAACACCCTGCCTAACTGGGGCCATAATTCATGCAAACATCTTCATAATTTGAATTACTGGGTTTTCTTTGATGCTTACCGTATATACCCGCGTATAAGTCGACATATTTTGGACAAAAAAAAGACTTCAAAGTGGGGGGGTCGACTTATACGCGGGGCCATAAAAAAATTAAAAGAATCGGAAGTTCAAAAATTTCTTTACATAATGCAGTTGTTTTCTTCCCGCACTCAAATTGGATGACTTATCAAATAAGTCACTTACTTGAAGTAATTTCCTGACTTAAATTATGTGAAAAACTAATCACAGAGTTTCATACTTTAACTAGAGTAAGTTTCGATTAAACCAAAGAATTTTCGGCCCCCGAACAACCGATCAATTGGTTTGCGATTGGCGCAAGAATAAAGTAAAGTTACAAAAAATCCGGAAATCGAAAAAGGCATCGCGACATGGAAAAGCTCCTTTTCCAAAACTCGAAAATGACTTGTATGCTTGGGTTTATGAGTGCCGGCAGAATGGTTTCATTGTCACTAGAACTGGCATACGTTTACGAGCAATGAAGCTTGCAAAAGAAGAAAAGTATGGTGTTCCAAAGGTGTTTCGTGCATCAACACATTGGTGCACTAAATTTATGAATCGCCATGGTTTGTGTTTACGCCAACGCACCAAACTGGTGCAAAAGTTACTATCTGATGTGGAAGCAAAGGTTATGGAGTTTCAAAAATATATTATCGATGTGGCAGAGTGGATTACTTCCGTCGACCAACATTTACAAAGGGAGGCAACATTAAAAAGCCCGAATATTACATTAATTGCTCAGTGGGTTAAAGATGCTTGGAACGAAATACCCTCTGAAATGATTATAAAATCATTTAAAAAATGTTTGTATTAGCAACGAACTAGAACGGCACAGATGATGAATGCTGCTTTTGAAAGTGAAAATGATGACGAAGGCTCTAGTTAGTGATTGTAACGAATACCAGAGTTCGAGACTGAAAATATGTATGATGACGAGCCAATGATGACAAAA